CGCCCGGGGGGCCGGAACCGGCCCGCAAGGAGGTTTGATCAGACCCGCAGGATAATTTAAAAGTGAAAAAAATGCTTAAAAGATACGGAATGAATATTTTTAATAAAGTGCAATTCAAGTATTATCCGCTAGGGGGAGACACTGTTTTGATCAGAGGAAAAGACAACATTCTTTTGATCAGAGAAGAAGACAACGGCAGCCTCAGTCTGTCACTGAGACGGACCCAACACAGCAGACGCGATCAAGGACGTGAATACTTTATTCTTTAGACATATTATAGCACTCTCCTTAGTTTGTAAGGTGTAGGCAGGGATTACATTTTGATTTTATATGCTCGTGTAAATGGTTTAAAAATTCCTTTCTTTGCATTACTATATTTTTTCAAGACCAATTACTTGTTAAGGTTTTGTGCCTTTGTACAGTCAGTGGGATCAGTTGCAATGCATATACAGTCAAACCTCGGTTTTCATCCATAATCCGTTCCAGAAGGCTGTTCGAAAACCGAATTGTTCGAAAACCGAAACCACCCTCTTTTTAAAATAAAAATGTTTATTGAACACGTCTGCTCACAATGGAAAGCAACATGAGGAAGCATCACTTCCTCATCTACCCGAGGAAGCATCACTTCCTCGTGTAATGAAGGCGAGAGGAGTCAAATGGTGCATTCAAGTGTGCTCAGTTTGTTCGAGAACCGAAATTTGTTCGTCATCAGAAGCATAAAAAACTCAAAATTTTTGGTCAAAAACCGAATTGGTCGAGAACCGAGACGTTCGAAAACCGAGGTTTGACTGTATGTGAATGATAAAAGTAAATTGCACATTTGTCGAAGGAAATCTTAGAGGCTTCATGAAATGTTTTGTGAAAGATATGTTCATTACATTTCAACATTTTCCAAGTCTTCTTGTCTTTAGACCAAAGCAAAGGAAAGACATATTATTTTGATTATTTATAGCAGAGTATGGTATAATTTTTAATGGTCCGGCCCACTTGACATCTACTGAGGCCCTATGTGGCCCACAATGTAAAATTAGTTTGACACCCATGCTATACATGGTCGTTTTTTTCGTCTAAAAACGCCTTACTATACATGGTCGTTTTTTTTCCGGTTAAAACGCCTTACTATACATGGTCGTTTTTTTCATCTAAAAACGCCTGACTATACATGGTCGTATTTTTAGTCGAAAAATGCCTTACTATACATAGTCGTTTTTTTCGGGTTAAAACACCTCACTATACACGATCGTTTTTTTCGTCTAAAAACGCCTTACTATACATGGTGTTTTTTTTCGGCTAAAAACGCCTTACTATACATGGTGTTTTTTTTCGGCTAAAAACGCCTTACTATACATGGTGTTTTTTTTCGGCTAAAAACGCCTTACTATACATGGTCGTTTTTTTCGGCTAAAAACGCTTTGGTATACATGGTCGATTTTTTCAGCTAAAAACGCCTTGCTATACATGATCGTTTTTTTCGCGAAAAAAGGCCTTACTATACATGGTCATTATTTTCGGCTAAAAACGGCTGCTGCAATGTGCAATAATGGCGGCCGCGACGAACTGCGGGCACACGCCAGTCACACAAACAGCCAAATGAAAAATGACACGAACAACTGCAGTACAACCAAAAGGAAATAAACATTACCTGAAACACAGTATGGCAGGAAGAATGGTGAAGTCGCATTGGGGTGGGTCTCGGACTCGGACATAACTGAGCAACAGACAAGCACTATTAACTCAATGGATAAAAACTTTCATTTGACAAAACTTAAATTAAATAACGACACAAAAAGCAATGTGGACTCAGAACAAATCAGGGAACTAATTAAATACACAGCTCTGTAAAAAAAGGGAAAACAAAGTGAAATATTGTCATTAAACTATAAATGAATGCGGACCGTCAATGAAATGCGACTTACCATGTGACTTCCCTGGTAGCTCTGACTGAGCTATGGTGGGAAGCTGGTGCCACACTGTGCGCTGTTGCGTCACTTCCGCCGTAATTTAATAAACTAAATATATCACTCCGTTACATATGCATACATAGACACATTTTTAAACTAACTTGGTCCACTTCAAGGTTTAAAAACATATTCCAGAAGTGCTTGATGATGCTCGGGTTGTCTATCTGGAGTTGACACTGTTGTGCAGTACACAAAGCAGAAGTTTAAGTTCAGTGAGAGACAGACACTCACCTCCACCTTGTGGTGCAACGTGACATCAGACATCAGCTCTTCAAGCACACCACACAGCTCAGTACTCGCGCGTGTCCAAATGCAGGTTGGCGTCCCTTCCGCATGTCCTGCGAGTCTGGCGCTGCACCTTTGGCCCAGTAATCTGACTAATCTGGTCAGGCAGAAAAACAAAACAAAAGCCATCACACTTCCACTGCTGATAGCAGCTTTGGTGTGGAAAACATACAGAATAGTATTCAAGTCAAACGCTATTCGCGATTTCTTTTTGATTGACAGCTGAGGTCTACTTGTCAGCGGCGTGCTCGCTCACTGCCCCCTTTGCTGACGTTGTTTTTTACGTTGAGTCACAACAACAAAATTAAATGAGCAACGTGTCGTAATAACTCTTCCCAATTGTCTTCATCTATACACTCAGAGATAAACTGCGAAGTCAGTTTAAAATGTTAAAATTACTCACTGAGAACAGGGCTTGTGGACAGCGGAAAAACTTGCTCATTGAACCGGATGTTTTACCGTTCTTGTGCGTACTTATTCTTCTTCTTGGTGAATTGGATGTCTTCAGTTCATATCGCCCCCTACTGTCCGAGAAACCACAAAGGCGTTTGGCCAGCAATCTGAATCTAATTTACAAGCGTGCAAAAAAACACAAAACACTAAATTAGGGCATATCTGAAGAACCACAGATTTCAAGGGCAGCTGATCCATTGAGCTGGTGGAAATACCGAGCTTCCGTCTACCCCCGTTTGATCAAAGTAATGGAGAGTAGATTGTGCATTGTAGCAACATCTGTCCCGTCAGAGAGGGTGTTCTCAAAGACTGGACAAATTGAAGTATTCCAAGTTGAAGTATTTAGTTTTGTTGACTGCAAATTTAAAATAAAGCAAGGACTACCTTATGTTTGTTAAAATTAAGCAAGGAGTAGCTTATGTTTGCTTTGTTCACTGCTGCTGTTGCAGTTAATACTCACTATTTTTGTTATGATGCAGCATGTTTGATTGTTGTTGGTTTAAGTTGAATTTTGTTGCTTGTTTATTGTTTGGAGGCTTTTTAATGTTCAATAAAATAAGTAAAAAGCCATTTCTTTGCTTGATAATTATTGCTATTTGCAGTTAGTAGAGTCCAATATTTAGTTCACCAAGTCATTTATCAAAATGTATGGTAAATTTGTCATAAATATTTAAAAGAAAAGCTAAAGAAAGTTAAAAGAGCCGTTTGAGAGCCAAAAAGAGCTGGCTCTTTTCACTGAGCCGATCCAAATGAACCGGATCACCGAAAAGAGCCGAAAATCCCATCACAAGAATACAGACTTCAAGATCTAATTTACACAAATATATTCCTACTAGATTACAATTCTTTTTAAAACATCATATCATTTTTTTCTATCAAATAAAATGTGCAACATTTTAGGCGCTGACAGATATTTTTAGATGGTGTGGAAAAGAAAAGGCTTTCTTCGAGTCGTGGATATAAATGCGTGATTAATTAAATGCAGAGTCTGCAGGGCCACCAATGTCATGTTTAGCGTGCACACGACACAATGGCGGAAGCGGTCACTGTGCACACCGCGAGATGGCATTGCACAAGAGGACAATTATTCTGTCGCCATTTTCCCAAGCTTAATACAAAAGACTTGACTGCGAAAGTACACACCCCTCTCTCAAACCACAACCAATACACTCGCCGAGATGGCCACAATCGCTCGGTGAGGCACCAGTAATCCAAAAACCTTACACGTGAAGCCCCGAACATTACGCCGAACAGACTGTTCTCATGACACTTTGTCTATTAGGAGAGAATTTTCGACATTTTTGGGCTTTTTTTTCGAAAGCAGATGGCTGTACAACAACACAACCAACCCGTCGAAGTGGTTGATTGACGTGTGAACTGTCCAACCCAGGAAGTGGCGGAGATTTGAAATCGGGTCGATGACCGCTACATTGCCCAATCAGAAGGCGATATGGGCGGGTTGATGATCGTCAATCACACAAGAACTATAAGATTTAAATAAGGAGGGAGGGGGGAATCCAATCCGGTTTGAGCTAGTTTTCTTCCAATGGAACATTATCATCTCGCTGCCCTGTATTAGATTGACTGTACGAGTTCAGCTTTATCTGGAGTATACGACAACAGTATATTTTTGTCCCGTATTCAGTTACATTTCGCAGCTTTTTCCCTTTTCCGCAAACACCCCTCACAAATCTACCATGCCTAAAAGGAGCAAAGTGAGTAAACCGAGATATTTCTTGCGTTCAGTAATACAGCATTTATAACGCACTGCTGCTGCTGCCTCTATAAATTGCCTGCTGGAGCGCGAGTTGCTACTTATTCGCATTGTACTTTTGGGCAAATGTCAAAAATATCGCGCTCGAAGCCACTACTTGAGTTTGTATGCGTCGTCCTGATTTTGTTTCTGGAAGGTGGTGATTGTTGCTCTTATCGCTCGATGCATTGTGTAAATTTAACATTATTTATTTTCATTACTATTTTTGTGTATTCATGTGGGTTCGCTGCAGGACAGTGTAGTGCACGGTTGCATGTTTACATAAACGCATTTGCAGTGTCTGGGGTTTTAAGGGAAGTCGTTCTGTTCGTCTACAACGTTTTTTTTTCTGCAGAGAAAGTTGGCGGCATATTGATTGTCTCAAACGTGCAGTCAGTCACGCAGGATAGTTAAGTTGCACTTTGGCGAGCGGTAAAAGGCGTAAAATTCATTTAAATTGCGCCCAAGCTGAGGCCGTTGGGTCTCGGGTATTTTATTTCATGACCACGCCACCTTGGGCGACATGTTTTATTTATCACTTTTTGCTGAACATGAACGCTATTGTTAGCGAGCGGCCGCCATTAGCCGCGGTGAAAACGCAGCTGTTTGGACGGCGTTCGTCGTGGTAGCTCGTCGGCTCAGGGAAGGTTATATAATGGCGAGCCTCCGTCAGCACAGCGCCGCTCTTGTTGCTGGGGGGTTCTTGTCGATACTGCGAGTCGAGTGACACGCTTTGGCGAAGGACCTTTTCAAATTAATGGCGGGAACGCTTCACTTCCCTGCTCGCTTTTCTGCCCCCACCAACCTTGTCGGTCTTCTTGTTTGTTACCAATGAAAATATGTGGCGAGGAGGCGGAGCTCGCCCCTCTTTCTAACTTGCAGAGGGGAAGTTTGAGCAAGCAGCGGCCGTTAGCGTGCTTCCATTTTGTCTGCAATGTTGGTTTTACACTTTAGGCTCAAACGACCGTTGTCGACCGCCACGGTCCTTCTAATGTGGGCATACCATTCGCTGCCATATTTTGCGAACTGCAAAATGGAGTCTCTATTTTTATGTGTGAAATTGATGTCCATGCTTGAATTTTTGCCGTTCTCGGAGCAGGAAGTGCCGCTCCGTCAAGACCGCCTCGACACGCCCACTCAGTGTATTTATTAACCACCGAGACAGATTGCCACAATATTAACTCATATACACTCATATTAATAATATTGAAAACAACCAGCTACGAAGGCCCTAAAAGATAGTTTTATCAGCAAACATTAAGACGTTGCACGTGGTAGGCAAAAACTGAAATGATAAAATAAGAAAAACCTTCTTTTTCTCACAATGGAGACATTTGCAATACTTCTATAATATTTGGAAGTACTATATAATATTGACTGATTTAAGTTGTTTCATCAGAATACATAGAATGGTCTTTGTCGATTATAAACGATATGTTTTATTTTGCAGGATGAGTCAGAGGCAGCTGAAGTACTGGTAAGTTATATTGCACAATCTGGTTTTAATTAATCTTGCAAATAGTAATAGCCCTGTCACCCGCTAGGGGTCAGTAAAAGCACACAACTGTAAGTAGCAGTCAAGGCGAAAAGTAATCAGCCCGTTTTTTTCCCCTCACCATGCAGCCCAGGAGGAGATCGAAAAGACTGACTGTAAGTAGACACACCTCGTTGCATATAGATATATAGTTGACTGTTTACATTCTGGACGTCATACAATAATAAATACGACACATTCATTTTTGCAGAAGTCCACACCTGCAAAGCCAGAGCCCCAAACCAAGCCAAAGGTAAGTTATATTGTAAAGTCCCATGTGTTACATATAGAGGTGCAACGATTAAGTGATTGAGGCACAACTAATCGGTTCTCAAATTAATGTATCATTATTTTTGATAATGGGTTCATTGTTTAGATGCCTTTCTTGGTTCAAAATTGTCAAAATCCTTAGATATCATCTTCTCGACACTAAATAGTCTCTGATTTCTGTCATTGCAAGTCTAATTAATCAATTTAATTGACAAAATAATCAACAGATTAATCAAGAATTAAAATAATTGCAGCCCCAGTTCTGTGAAACCCCGCTTCATAGTTTATGAAAAAATATTAAAGAATTATAGAATGATAACAATAATTTTGTTCACCAACCGCCAAATCATAATAGCCATTCCTACTCAGGACTCCTAAATATATGATACAATGACAACTTATAATGCACCGAATTCATACAGTGTATTATTAAACTTTAGATTTGTGAACAGTATTATCCGGCCAAATCTTGGGCCCCCTTCCGTCACCTATGCAGGAAATGCTGTCATTAGGACCACTGTTGTCATTTTCGCTAGTCTCTTTTTTTGGAAAAATAGTTATTAGAGCAGGGGTGGGCAAACTTTTTGGCTCGGGGGCCACATTGATTTCTAAATTTGACAGGTGGGCCAGATCAGCACAAGATAGAGTACATATAAAAAACTTTATATGTTGACAGTCCATACCAGACATGGGCAAACTACGGCCCGCGGGCCGGATCCGGCCCGTTGGTCTTTTTAATCCGGCCCGCCGAAGGTTGGTACAGTACACAATTAAGGTTCGATGTAAATTATTGCATTCATTTCATTTGGACTTGTAATACAGGCATTTAAACGCCAGGTGGCGCGGTTACTTGAAGTCGCAGAGCACAAGGAGGGAGGGGGAGACGATACGGAAGCCCGGAATAGCACTAACTGAAGTAAGTCGCGCACGATACGACGAAATAGATGTACCCCCACCGCTATTTTCTGTCATTGGATCCCAAACGGCGACATGCAAGCGACTCTTTGTTGCAGTGAGTTTTACTGGAATTGCGAACATTTTTACATCCTTTATTAGAGCATGGCATCCAAACAAAGAGGAGCGGTAATGGCCGCGGAAGAGAAAATGAAGTGTATCTCATTAAACAAAGTAGGTTACGAAGTACGAAACATTCAGGAGACGCTTGGAGTCTGGAAGACTCAAATCTACGAGACTTTGAAAAACGAGGAAGCGATTCTTGCTCAGTCCGATTCGGGCTATTTCCATGCTCAGAGTGAATTGCTTGCGGCTCGACGGACAGTCAAGTAAATGAACGTTTCCTGAAATGGCTTGACTGTTATCGTGCTAAAAACTTTTCGCAAACTGGACCGCTAATAAGAGAGAAAGCGAGTTCCATAACGCTAACTATGGGCATTGAATACTTCGAAGCGTCCTGTGGCTGGCTTCAAAAGTTCGAAGCACGACATCAGCTGACCAACGCTGTCTTGTGTGGTGATCGAGGGGAGG